GAAAAATTCACAAGCAAACATACGTTTGTCGGGCAGTGGATTCATCTGGGCATGCAAAATTGCGGCGACAGCGGCATCAGCGAACATATCACTCACTGGATTCGACGACCATTCGATGACTGCAACATGCAGCGGCTGATTAAGCGACACTTGAATCCTTCCCTGCAACAGTGACACTAGATTTGCAACATCAACAAATCATGCAGCGTGATAATACCATCCCCTAGAAAAAGTAGTAATTTGCCAAGGGCACGCAGTAATCTTTTTCATCTTTTATGGGTAAAAGGCCTAAACTGAAGCAGCAGAAAGCAAGTGCTCTCGAACTACGGCGAAGATTTCTTCACAAAAAAAAGTACCAAAACGCTACTTGAACAGCCTATCTACAAAAGTTAACTACATACTCTGATGCGGGTTTAAGGCAATACCAAAGTAGTAATGATACTTTAAAAATAAAGTAGTGTGTATAAAATGGGTTTCTTGGCGTCCATGTAGAAGTTGCACCACATTCTATTCGGTCAAACTCTGTGACAGCCACCTTCCTCATCTAACTGCACTCAAGCACAGACCCATTACAGACGGCACCATGTAGCTACGATGGACAAATAAGCCTTATTTCGCTTAACAGTGAACAGTGTCATGAATTCAGCATAACAAATTTAGCTTTTGAAGTGCCAAAAAACGCTTATTGCTTGAGAAATACATTATAATACGCACTTACATCAAATAATTTGATGAGATGCGATGAAGCTTTGCTGTCCTTTGAATCAATCTCTTCCAGACTTGCATCACCGGAAATCTGCTGCAGATTATCCAATAACAAAGCGACGCTACCGTTGTAGAAAACACTTTCTCGTTGCGTGAGAATACTGTTCGACAGTTCCGTATATGCTGCAGTACACTATTCACAGTACGAAAATGAGGAAATAAGCGATAACAATAGTGGAATATACGGACAAGAAAACAGAACAAAGCCAGCTACTACTGTATGAAACAATCCCAAAGCAGTCAATTTCTGAGAATTACATATGCATCGCGACCCTAAAAGTTAGTAAAATTGACTAGTGGCGTGCCCTGTATATGTGTGTGTACGAGTGTATATCGAAACTCTTAGTTATATATAAATATGATTATATAAAAAACTAAGGTCATGCAACACAACGCGTAATACAGGTACCAGGCGAGGTTCTGGAGAAGCCGAACTTCGCCACCTGTTTTCTTTGTTATCTGTATTACGCGAACAATCCACATCGAATACTGTCTGTGTTTGCAGCTTAGGGATGAAACACCGACAGCCAAGTCTACATTCAGCCTTAACACAGGTCCACACTACATCTCCTGAACCTTTTTTCACAACATATGCTGTTTCACTATCTCTTTTCACTTATTTTCTTGATCTTTCCTTTCGTAGCATTTTATTCGACTACATTTGCTTTCATTTCATTCCATTCCATTCCCCAGAACAGGGTTAAGTAGTAAGGAGTGACTCTGGATCCCGGAAATGGGGAGAAGTGCTTTTATAACCCACTGGATAGAGATCACTGAAACTGCAAAACTTTAAGAGGGTAAAGTTTCCAAAAGTTGGACCGGGGAGCGGGGTATTTCATCACAGTAACGCAATTGTTCCAACCTACACAATCCCTAACAAAAAGTCAGAAATCATTATTTGACATATTATGTGACATATCTCACCACCCACTTGCTGTCGAAAAATTTCTTTTCTGCTCCAAAAATTCACATAATCCGCAGATTACCCATTAAGTGAGTCAACGCCATTTACATCACAGCACGAGTTCAGTCTCCTTCTGTTCAGTTAAATGATGGTCATTCAGTGCTAGTGCTGTTAAAAAAAAAAATTTTTTTTTAACATCACTAGCACTGGATGACTATGATTTAACTGAACAGACGATTTGATGCAAGCCTCATGATATTTTGCAACTTCAGCGGTAATTCAAAAAGTAGATGAACGGTGGCATCAATCTGTTACATACGTCATCACCCACTTGCCGTCGATAAGTAAAAATGCGTCTTCCATTTCAAGCTTCCAAATTACAGCTATCGTTCTAGATAATGGGATTTACCAGTTTTTTAGACAATTCCTATATGGGTACGACTTAACAGAACAGATGATGAATGTGTACCGCAGTAGAAAAAATTTTTCAGACAGAAATCTGTAAGTGAAAGGGGGTGAAACTTACTGCTGAGATCATCGGCATGCATGAGGTGATAGTTAAAATTACGGCGAACCAAAACACCACTTAGGACTTCTCCATCGACCGGCGCAGTCATCGCCATTTTTCCAACTACCTTTGAAAGAACAGAAAAAATTTCTTCGCTGAAGAAGGTTAACTGTGAATTGTGCTAGTCCGTGGGGCACTGTTAGCGAAAAGTTGATTGTTCTTCCAACATTATATTTATTAGTCAGGAAAACACTACTTCGAGAATAATCAAGAAATTTAGCGAATAATGCCTACCTTTGCTGTTTTCTCGCCTCTGAAGTGCAGCTCAACTGCTTCGGTATTTCGTGGATTGTAGACCTGTAACACAGATAAGGCTTTTAATTCGGTACAAAACATTATAACTGCTTACTGCATTAGGCATTGATCGCTTATTCCAGTTGTTTACTTCGGTTTGAAACGCCCCGTTACACACCGATATGGCTCAAATAAGTACGAAATAAATTTACTCCAGAACTTTGAGGCTGCTGGCTTTTAAAATTTCATCTTTTAGGCTTCCTTCTGGCTCAAAACTTTATGTTCCGGCCTAGATTTCTGAATGAGACCTTTCATCACACGGGCTTTTTGAGAAACAAATACTGTCAAACTTTCTTCAAAATAAAGTCGTATTCATTTTAAGTACTTGAAAATATAAACGTAGAAAAAAGACTAGGTCAGTTTGTAGTCTGTATTTCATCCCTTAGCTGTAAACACAAACTAAGCGTCCAGCTTTGCAGCAGTGAATAGGTCTACATCACAATCGCCGTCCTCAACCTTACACCTAATATTAACCTATATGAGGACCCAATTCCGCAATTACTACAGTCAGTCATCTAACCGTAGCGGCAAAAAAACGAATAGAATACTTTAGCAATGTTAATTCACATACAGTTCAGCAAACTTCAGCAACCTCTTTACCAGTCTATCTCGTACAAAGATAATTAATAATCTCAACTATTTAATTGACTTATGCTTTCAAAATGCTGGCAACGAATATTTGGAATTGGCAAAAATCATATTAAAAAAATAATACCACAAACAGTGCACCATTTTACTTAAAAAAATGAGATCAAAGCTGTGCTACGTATTATCCTATAAAAGACCTATGTGAAATTTAACGGATATTTTAGGGTGTACTAATGGGCGCAAATGCCAGTTCCGACATTGCAAATGTTACTTTATCAATTATGGAGTGCCGTTTTTCACATCAAAAGCCTAATATCAACAGACATATTTTTCGATACATCAACGTTATTAATTTTCCTCGTTATCCTCGTTATTAATTTTCCAAATTTTTTCAATACATCAAGTGACATTTATGGGTCTAATTTTGAGCTAAGACACACACTTTGGAACAAAAGTCTGCTTCTTGGACCTCAAAATAGAAGGCTATAATGGTAACTGCGTATTTTATACAAGACCACTCATTTCGACCTAAAATTAGACAACGAATCTATCGAACTTGTGGACAGCTATATCTACTTGGGACAAACAGTGCAGA